TGACTCGAAGATTCGTGTTAAATACGCGATGCCGACGAGAAGCTAATCAAGTATCTCAAAGTACCGATGACATAATTTAATCACCCGTGAGGAACGACAAATAACACAGCGGCGTACTGGGTTTGTATTACGCGTGTCGCTCGTTAGCCCGAGACTGAATGGAAAGACGCGGAAAAGTCCGCGAGGCACTTCATCGTCTCGAAGGTCTCGAATGTTTTGATTGTGCGGAGGAACGAGATAACGCACCGACACACGTAGCCCGTGATACACGTGTCGTCCGCCGGCCCGGAACTTGAATGGATTCATCCGGAGAAATGTGCGCGAGGCACCTTGGTCCCGGATGTTTTTATTGCGTGATCGCCCGGCGCTCACTGATACGCGACAACCGTTGGCGATAGTAAATAAAGGATTTACATTTCTTGCCGACTGTCTACTCGCGCGTAGTACACTGTTTTTTTTTGCAGCCAAGCGTTATATTAGATTTGAAGCGAAACACTGTAAGCGCCTCTAAAAAAACGTCGAGAAATACTCGGGATTTTTAAGGCAATTAAATTATAACTTTACCTCGCGGACTTTTTTCTAATGTTTCCATTCAGTTTCGATGTGTCGTCCGTTATCTATCAGGTTGTGTAATAAATAATCTCGGATTTTCTTCAGTAAAATTTAACGATTGTATTTTTATGTCATTCTAATTTTATGCAGGATTGGGAAAGTTACTTTTTAAAAGTAACTAGTTACAGTTACAGTTGCTTTTGCTGAAAATGTAACTAGTTACAAGTTAGTGGCTATGAAAAGTAACTCGTTACAGTTATAGTAAACGAGTTGTTACTTTTAAGTTACTTTCTTGAAATGATTGTAAATTATTATTGTAAATACAAAAATCTTACATTTTAAGCTTTACTAAAATGTAAGAATTGAATTTCATAATTAATATCTATCACATTAATTAGTCAATCCACTTCACAAATTTAAAAAATCTGTACTTAATATAATAAAAATTTAATAATAGCCTTGTAGAGGTAAAAGAATTTAATCACATGCTCCATAAATACGTTGATAAATTTCCCAGACAGCACAGAGAATTTAAAAGGAAATTCAGTCGTATATCATCAATTCTGAGTTCATTTTTAAATACAAAAATAATTCTTTTCACTGAATTAAACTGAAGAATTCTTTTTGCATCTAAAAATGAACTCAGAATTAGTGACGTACGACTGGATTCTTTTTTAATTCTTTTTTAATTCTCTGTGCTATTTGGGTTAAATTAATATACGATTTATAATTTTAATTTTATTTTTCCCAAGTAACTATTAAAATAACTGTTAAAAAAGTTACAAGTTGCTAAAAATAAGTAACTAAGTTAAGTTATAGTTACAGGTGGGAAAAAAGTAACTAAGTTAAGTTACAGTTACCGAAAAAATGAAACTGTAACTGTAACGAGTTATTTCCCAACCCTGATTTTACGGTAATGTGTGTGAAGAATGGCAGAAGTTCGTAGATCAAAATAGCATATTTATTATTGACGTAGAAATACAAACGTTTCATTTTATCTAAAAGATCCTAAATTATTCATTATACAAGCCAATATTGTTCCTTTTGGGTGATTAAACTGTTGCATCGATATCTTGAGATGCTTAATTAGTCTTTTGTCGGCATCACGTCATTTAATGTATATGTAACACATCAAAGCACGCTACGTGAGTGTCAGTATCAATGTCACAACGGAGGATGCGGCCAGCGATACATCATATATTTTCAAAATATGCCTAATCATTTATTTATTAATTTATTTATTAATCAGCTTCTTGTAAACGTTCTCAGCAAGTCCATCTTTAAGGATTTTATAAATAGGTGTGAAAAATTTGTCTCATACGAGATACTCAGATTTTTATTCTAAGTTGAATCCACACAAATTTTGTTCAATTAAATTATATAATATATATGATATTATATCTGTAATCGCGATTCATAACTAACATTTATCTACCTTTGAACTCAACTCTGAGTATTTCACTTGAGAGGAGTTTCAAGTAACGATTATTAGTACGGACCTTAATCTTCACATGGAAAAAACGGCAATAAGTCATGATTTGTGGCATCAAAGCACGACAGCCTGTATAAACATTATCTTTCAAGATTCTTCGCTGGCCTACAAGTTCAATGATATACTTGCAAACTTAACGCAAAATCTATATTTCGGGACATCTTAAGATCTTTAAGATTCTTGAGGCCTCTATTAATGCACTCAGAGAAAAATACAGGATAGTAGCAACTATACAGGTAATAACTGCACAAGTTTTGTGTGTAGAATCGATGTATATGATTTAATGAACTATTTTGTAATTATTGAACTAATAGCTAAATAGGATTACGGAAACTACTAGTTACTCTGTATAGTTCTTGTAACCACTCAACTTTAATTGCAATAGCCGCAAAGTAGTTAAACCCCATACATTAATTCTATATGCAAAACTCGTACAATTGTCATCTATACAGTTGCCATTGTGTCTTTTTCCCTGAGTATAGTCACTACTTGAAACTCTCGTCTCAAATGAGATACTTAATTCCGTATTAACCCTTATTGTGCACGGTGGAGTCAAATAGACTCCAGAAAAAATAAATAAAATAAAGTAAATCTATAAAATAAAATAAAAAATAAAATATAATATAATAAAATTAATCTATGTATTTTGGAAAAACTGTTAGTTTTTTTTTTTACAAAAATTATAATTCTGATATTCAAAATAAATACTTTTTTTGAAAATCCTGCTATTGTATTAATTTTTTTTCTTAAAGAGATATGCCTTGAGAGTAGTTTCTTAAAATTTCACCTTGAAATATCAAAAATTGTATCAGTTATGATTTCTGAAGCAAATCAAGACATTTTTCGCATTTTTGGGCTTTCCAATTTTTTTCTTCATTTAAAATCAAATTTCGTCTAGAAAAATTATTCCGTCATATAAAAAGATGTTTGAAATATATCCTAGAATTTTTTCTAATAAAAAAAGCGAATAGTTGCAGTAAACATTTGTGTAGCTGGAGTCACGAAAGACCCCAGTGTGCCCATTATGTGATTCTACTGAAGTGTGCACAATAAGGGTTAACAGTTGTTGCTAGTCTTATATGAGATATTCAGTTTTTATTTAGAGTCAGATCCAAATTTTTCAGTTGAATTGTGATATATGTGACGTTTATGTCTGTGATAGCGATTCAACTGAGAAGCTCTCACCTAATTCTAAACTCAAATCTGTGTGTCTCACATAAGACAAGTTTCAAGTAATAAAACTATTAATATGGGCTTTAGCTTTAAATTCGGAGTTAGATAAAAGTCTTGCAGATAAATCGCGATTACAGATGTAAATATTACAAATATCATACAATTCAACTGAAAAACTTGAATCTAACTCTGAATAAAAATCTGAATATCTCACAAGCGCGCACACACAAGACAAGTTCCACAGCTCATTGAAGTTACATATGAATCGTGAAACGACGACGTTTGAGACACGATGTGCTCTCCGTGAACTAACTATCGCAAACTTTTACCGCGCCGCGATCTAAACGAGCTTTGTTCTCCCAGCGTTATCCGAAAATCTTACGGCTGATGTTAGATAGAGCAAGAATTCCTGCTGTTCCAATTAAAAGGGAAAGGCGCGATTCGGTAAGCGGATCGTTAACTCATGGCATGAAGGTATCGTGTTGACGGCGCATTTGCGCCGAAAGATCGACAGTATCGTTCCCGTTAAACGTTCGCGATCGTATCGACCCGCAGAAGAAAGCGCACCTCTGACGATGCCAAAACGAAAGGCAATTCGCGGGCGAGAGAAGGAGAGGAAGGGGATTCGCGGTGCGGAATGATCGCCCGATACGATTCGCCGCCGGATAATTCCACGCTACTGCCAATGTTGTCCTTTGTCGCTCGTTTTGTTCGCCACCCCCTCCCCCTTCCCTCCTTTCCTCCTTGTCCTTCGTCGTGTGATGCAGCAGTCGGCGAGGATTCGCTTGGTGATTTAAACGCCTCGTACGTACACTTGACGACCTAGAAGTCGCGTACTTTCCTCTTTATCCACGGTTACAATCGGAAAAGATAACAAAATGAATTGATTTTTAAAATAAAATACATAAAATAGGCTGATTCTTGCCTAAAGAGTGTAACGTGTTATACACGTAATCTTATGCTTCTTGTGATGATAGCATTTTTATCCGTCTCTAAAATTCGTCTAAAGAGATCGAAATATGAAGCACACTTTTAATAGTGATTCAGTTAATGGCGAGTTTCTTACAATTTAATTGCTTGTATATTCGCCTGGATCTTAAAGAGTCAATAACTTTCGCGATTTCAAGTCAAATCTTCATTAATTTTGCTGTAGAGAAAGAGAGGGGCCAGGCGCAACAATATGGCGTCCGCAGAACAAATACCCACAAACGTCGCGCCATTACGCGCGAATCCCTCGCGCGAAATTGCCTTCCACGTGGTCGTTTCGCCGCGAGGACGCGTAATGTCTGCGTTTTATCGCGCGCGCAGCGAGGAAACGTGTACTCAGGGGGAAAAAATTAATATTCTTGGACGTAAATATTAGCGAAAACTGTGAGCAGACGACCGCCTCTGTCGACATCATCGTCGTCGTCGTCGTCGTCATCGTCCTCAGCCGCGCGAGGCGGCGAAGGATCTACCCGCAAATTACTGCTTGGAAATTTCCGGTCGCGCTGACGACACCGTAACCGCGCGGAATGTTGCGAGCTCGCTAACTGCTGCTTCCCCGGCTGACTCGAGTACCACATCGTCCTCCTCCTGCCCCTCCACTCTTCGTCGTCGTTTACCCTTTCTCACCCCTCGTCTATATCCATCCGTCCATCTGACTGCTCGTCCGACCGTTTTACGACCATGAATACGATACTAACCCGCGACCCGTTTCTTCTCTTTGTTGTTTCGACGCTACTCAAACCCGGCATGCGAAACCTTAATTGACAATCTGAAACTGAAACCGATCCTGGGACAGAGAGCTTCCTACTGTAGTTTGGCAAGCTTGTCGAGCGAGGGTAAGGACAAGGAGCGGGCGTGCGAGAAGCCGAAGCTCGAGGTAAGACCACGACGAGGGTGGATGACGCGCGAGCGCGATCGTCATCAAGTCGGTTCGTACAGAGGTTTGAGTTGACCCGAGCTTCCCGATTGCCTTTGCCGCCTTTAGAAAGAGAGAAATTTACATGCGTGTGCGCTTCGCTTTTTTAGCCTGAGATTGATTTGCTCGCTTTTTCAGACCTTTGTACGATCTCCTCGGAAAGTAAACGCCACCGCCGCGCGCAAACCGGAGAACTGACGTGAATTAAACTGTTCTTTAGTAATTGTGCGATGATATACACGGAGAGAATATTATAGTAGAAATTATATATTGTGGATTTTGTAACCCAGGAATAGATTCTGCAGTAATCGACTGTCCTTTCATTTCATACGGGGAAAGAAGTTTGGTTTGCTGAAGCAATCTCTAACGAAATGTGAACAAACCAGAAATTCCGGTTGAAGTTGCCAGAATATTGTTTAAATTAACAAGATTTCTAGCTCTCTAATTTTAACAGAATTCTAGTAACTTCAAGCTGAATTTTCTAGTTCATATTTCATCAGAAATTTAGTTAATCTAACCATACTGAAAAAAAGATATTTAAAATTTTATTTGCGGGATATAAAGTTTATTTCTGTGAATAGTAAAATTCATTTCTGTGAAAAGTAAAATTCATTTCTGTGTAATAAAATTTATATTTTCTATTCTCTTTTCATTTTTCTTTATATATATCTTCTCTATATTCTATATTCTATACTCTATATTCTATATTCTATATTCTATCTTTTATATTTTCATATATTCTGTGAAATAAATTTTGTATCCCACAAATAAATTTTCAAGTATTTTTTCTCAATACATATATACGTTTTCTCCATATACAATTAATATTTCAGGAATTAAAATGTGCTATTAAAAAGTTTGCTTAGTATAGATCTTGGATGAACTTTGCTTAAATGAACCTTACTGGTAGTCTACAGTCTTGCACAATACTAGAGCAATAATAAAATTCAAAAAATTTAAAGGTATTGTAATATTCTGTCCGTGTAGGAATGTGGTTCTCCATATTTCGCCGTATTTCAAGGAAACTCCAACGATTTTATAATTCCACGAATACGATCTCCGTGAATACACGATGGTGGCTCTTTGAATTTTTGCTTATATTTCTTTTTTCTTTGCCTGTGATAGCTATTTTTTAACTTGCATTGTTCTTACCTCGTTAATAGTGAAGGGATATGAAAGTGGATATTTTTCTGCTCTGTTAGAAAGTTAAAGGGGGACAAAAATTGCCTGCGGAACGTTCTTCGCGTTCTTTCTTTCCTGTTTCACCCTAGTCTCCCGATCCACAGTACCCATTTATTTGACATATGCGCCGTTTGTACTTGCAGAAATCGAGTTTCAACAAATTCGACGCACTCACCAAGAAGACTGTCCTGCACGTGCGCTCGGTCGATGCCGGAAAAGTTCAACAACAGCTGAACGCCGTAAGTTCTCTCACACGCAAATCACACAACAACTCGCAATTAATACCAAAATAAGTGAATCTAAAGTTAAGATCTGTTTAGCGCTGCAAGTGCTTCAGGACGACGGATGGACCAATCATACTGCTTCATTTGACGCCTCGAAGCGTTTGCAGTGTCGAACAGACCTTGCCCTAAAACAAACCACGTCACAGACGTTTCTATATTAGCAAAGCTGCGCTTTATAGCCTGACGAAACAACAGTTCACTGAGACTCGTTTCGCGTCGAATCCTTTGAGTTTATCGTGTTGTCTTCCCGGTGACACGCGTTTTGCTAAATTTCCCAATGAGTAATCCCATGATTCTAGCGCGTACATGCTTCACGGAGACGAGCCAGCACGAGGATCACCTGTGCTGGCTTCTTCGAATAAGAGACGCGGCACAGAAAGTGAGAGCCGGCTGAACGTTAATTAATTGGCGCATTTGTGCGTGCTGCAGGTGGGCCAGAACGGCGAGGCGAACACGAATTGTCGCAGCTGCGGCAAGGTCGTGTTCCAAATGGAGCAGACAAAGGCCGAGGGTCTGGTCTGGCACAAGAATTGCTTCCGGTGCGTGCAGTGCAGCAAGCAGCTTAACGTGGACAATTACGAGAGCCACGAGAGCACGCTCTACTGTAAGCCACACTTCAAGGAGCTCTTCCAACCGAAACCGGTCGAAGAGTCCGACCAGCCCGGTAAGATGATTACCGTCTCGCGAGCAATATCGTACGCGCCGCGTACTGCGTGCCGCGTCCGTGACCGCTAATCTGCTTAAACGGATCGTCTTTGTGAATTACTCGTTAAATCTTGACTCGGATACTTAGCGAGCGACATCGATATCGGCGTCGGCGCGCCATCCTCGGCGGAACGAAGTTCGCGCGCGGGAATTAAATTTGCGCGAGTGTATTAAGGGAACCATAAACGCGCACGAGACACGCTTCGACGCGGGGAAAGGGAAAAAGAGGTGAAACATGCGTTTATCGCAAATGAAGCGCAGCACGCGATTAGCGCGAGCCGTTCAATTAACTTCAGCCCGCATTCTTCGATCATACGAATCTGCATATATATCTTGTTTTACTACTCGAAAAATCTGACAAAAAAATTACGCTGAGAGAGAAAAAGAAACGGTTAATCTCGCGCTACGAATTATAGTTATTCTCGAATCATAGTCATTAAATCACTTTTTTGTTCAGGTTCGCGCAGCAAAAAAGTAGCAATATGTTCGTACAGGTTAATTATCGATGATCAATTATGGATCTAAAAAGATTTCTTTTTGAGCGAGGTTAACGAGAACTTAGATACGGGATTTTTAACAGTACAATATAATAAAAGCTAAACTTATTGTAAAAAAAACATTGCAAATTGTGTGTCCGGTCTAAATGTCTTAATCCAAGATTAAATTTCTGATAACATAATAACAGTACTTAGAGGAGACCTAGATATACTATATTTCAGAATTTCGAAGTTGTGACTTCTCAGAAAACTGATACATCTAAATATACGAGTAAATATAAATAATTCTGTACATTCAGAAAATCGCGCTTCTTGACAATCAGTTTTATTCAGACCACAAAACTCTTCAAAACTTTCAGAAAAGTTGAAGAATTAAGACCTTAAAAAAATAATTGTTAATCAAACTTTGATTTAATTGGTTATATCCTGATTAATAATTAATTTCATCGGTCGATTCAATTATATGTGTTTACGTGTATGACGACTGATTAAATTTGATTGTTGATTAGAATTATTTGAATCAAGGACAAAAAAAATTTTCACCAATTAACGCCCAACACTGCAGTGAATTCACTGTGCAATTACAGTCGCAAATGTCAAACAGTTTTTTCTCAGTGTGCAGAAGATAACGATGTAATAATACGATTTCCCGATTCCGAGAGAAAGACGGCTATGTATAGAAGCGAGAATGATCGAAGACACCGCGTTCTCAATGTACGTCGACATTGTCTAACGAAAACTCAGCGTGCGGGATATCTGAGCACGGAGCAATGTCGTATCTGATGCGTCGGCATGCCGATTGCTCGGGAAACGTCGGAGGACTCGCTTTGTTAGAGCTCTTAGCGCACTGGCGAAAATTACAGTTCTCTCACCTCTTTCCCAGCCGTGTAATAACGCGTAAGCGCGAGCTCGCCGCGAGAAAGAGAGGTATCGTTAATACGACAAAGAGTTGTCTCTTGTGAACTCCGCAGTGCGACCTCGAAAGCCGGAGCTGATCATACGGGAGAACGAGCCGAAAGAGCTGCCGCCCGACGTGGTCAGAGGTAACGTCGTTTGACGTTGGTTGTGAGTGTGATCTGGCATGGAACGCAATTTTCCCAAGGGAGACCGTGCCTAACGCTGTGTGTGTCCGTTTGGAGAGTGGCTTTTTAACCGCCGATTATTATTGCCCGCCGATCGCGCACGTATGCGCGCGCATTAAATCATGTCGCACTAATATTGCCGCGTTAATGGGCGAATTGTAATAGCACGTAACGACACGCGCGCGAGCCGTTATTACGTTGAACATTCGACCGGTCGACATGCCTTATTTGACGAGCGACGAGAGGCAGGCGCGATCGCGGGCACGATTTTAATTGCGATTATGTATTCTACGAAATGCGCGTGTGAATGTTGCAACCGGATCGACGGGAGTGCCTCGAGGATACTTCGGGGAGTTGCACGGTCGCTCGCACGGTCGAATGTATCGCGCGCTTATTTGGACTCGCGTAAGTTAATCATCGAGCCAACTTTCCGGGTTAAAGTTCACTTCTCGTTTGCACGTGACGCGAGATGGAGATCTCTATTTGTTTAGTAACAACACCAGCAACTTCCTGTACGTTAAACTCACATGGAGAAAATTATGTTTAACCCTTTGAGAACCATACCTTTTATTTTTCGACGGACTTTTCGAATTTAGACGCTCTCGAAGTCACTGATTACGAATCTTAGATCAAAAAGTCAAAATTCTAAATGGCGGATCTATGGAGGCCAAAACTTTCAAAATTAATAATGACATTTTTATCATCTCTAGGAAATAACAATTTCCTGGTATGAAGAGAATATGTTTGCATTTTTTATAATAAATTTGCAGCAAAAGATATTATCAATACTTGAATAATTTATTATAAAAAAAGGGGACGCGGAGAACTTTGAAAAAATGTGTAAAATACTGTTAATTATTCTGAATAAATTGTTAATATTTCGATATATCGATTCCTAATAGTTAGCTCTAAAATGATTTTTGTCTGGAAAAAGCGCCTTTTTTATTTGCTTATAATAATAACTAAACGTTTAAATTATTTTTAATTCCTTATGTTTATAAGAGTTATAATAATATAATATTGTAATAATATAAGCGACTATGTTTACTGATATAAGTTAATTAAAGTCACTAAAAAAATCTAAAAATCACTGAAGAAAAGATAAGCGGGACTCTAAACGTTTCACTATGGCTCAAAGGATTAATGCAGCCAAAAAGATGCAATCTTATCCTTGGCGGAATATCCTCTTATAGTATATATCTTTATATATCAGTCTGAAGAGAAGAGCTTTCTTTCAAAAGCAAAAAGAAAATAATTTATAACATTTGAGAAAAAAGAACTCTATTTGCAAAATGCTGTTTCCTATAATTGCATATTTTAAATGAAAACTTTTATTAGAGTATTCCTCTTCTAATGAAATAGACTGTTAATTGAAAATCTATTAAATATCATTCCAACTTTCTTCCTCTTTTAAATCAAGAGAAGTGTCTAACTTGAAGCAGAATTCTTTTCTTATCAAAGGAAATTTTTATTAAGAACAAAATTTGTTGTGTACTATGAAAATTCTTCTGTCTTTAAGAATATCGTGCTTAGAACATTTTCCTTTTGGTTTCAGAAGAATCTTCTCGAGATCATGTCAAAAAAATTTTACTCTAGGATAAGATTATATATTTTTTGGAGTGTATATTTTGATACAATGTCTTTGATGTTATATAGCTGTTGTACTTAATTTTCCACATTATTCGATGGAAAAGCCTATTGTTTGAATAACAAACGATAAATGTTCCAAATCGCCGGAAATCAACATGAAACGGAGCGCGCATACCCACTAAAACTTAAATTTATCGATATCCCCGAATTTAGATTCTACTGGCCATCGTCATTTAAAACAATAAATGTTGAAAAATGATGAATACCGCTCTCTGGGGAGTGTTTAACCATCCACCTGACTAAATACCAGACAGCGATGTGTGTGCAATTTTGTTTTGTGTACATTTTGCGCGAGTGAATGTCGTCTATTCGTGAGACCGTTGACAATTCTAGCGAACAAGCGACTAGTGATATATCTCGTTGCAAGTACATGGCGACAAGCGGAAACACGGAAAAGTTGCACGTGAAGCCGTAACGCGATCTTAACGTTTGAAAACCGGACGCTGTGGCTCGCGATCTACGCCGTCGTGTCCGGGTGACGATCGGCCAAACGACTCTCTCCCCGACACGAGCGGACTTTCGACGAGAGTCTCCTTCACCTTCGACGCTTTTTTACTAGAATTCTGTGTCGTGTGCAACTTCGCCTACACCTCTTCCCGCGAATCGTCGCGCCCGAGCGGCAGTCTAACAAATTTGCCGGAGAGAGTGTGCCCAAATGTTTGAACAGCGACTAGAGGGAGAAAGAGAGGGAAAGAAAGAGAGAGAGAGCATCAATAGGTGAGACGCAAAGAAATATCCTTTCTCTCTGAATTTCAGCTTCCGACAAGCCCGATCTGGGACTCGAGGAGCTCTCAAGCCTCAACGTGAAGTCGCGCTTCCAGGTCTTCGAGAAAGCCAGCACGGAGAACGCCAATGAGATCGAGAGGTCGCCGTCGCAGATCGCCGTCAAGAGATCACCCAGCATCCTCAGCAAGCTGGCCAAGTGAGCGCGAACAAATTTGTATATGTGTGATACTTATGGAATATTTGACGAGGCTCCTTTATGCGAACTCTGTTACCCCGTGTAACGCGTGGCTACCAACCTGTAATTCAAATCGCGTCTCTCCACGACCATGTCAGGAGCCTCTCCCTGCGACCCACGATAATTCTAAACCGCGATATCTTGCCGTGACACGGATCTGCTTCTGCAGAATGCGCAATGATGAGTCAGTAATTCCGACAGTTCCAAGTTTCTTTTAGACGATCAAGCTCGCGACGTTTGTTCACGTGTAAAAGAGTCAGAGAAAAATAACTTGGACATTGGTGGGGAGTGAGTGAGATCGATTAGAAATACTTGAAATTGAGCAAATTAGAAATGCTGAGGATACTAAGGAGAAAAATTCCACGAAAGATAATTGTCAGCACTGACGACGATCTTTTCGAGAAACTTGGAATTTGTTAGAGTTCCCTCTGACGAGATAATTCTTACACGTATTTTGTCACGCTGGCAATTTTGCGCCGTATCCACGATGCACTTTGATAAGAATGACATATACACGGTATTTAGTAGTCAGCAGTTTTCTTCTCGCGACGTGAAACCCGAGAAAACGCGCGAAAAAATATGTTACAACGATCGTAGCGGAGTATAGTCGACAGTCACTCATATGATATGTCTGTGTAATCGTTGTGCATATTCTCTCACACAGATTCCAGGCCAAAGGCATGGACATTGGCGTAGCGGACGAATCCCTCAATGGTATACCCTACGAGGAGTCCAGCGAAAGCGAAGATGAAGTGGAGACGGAGGAAACCGAAGGTAGGATAATCCACAGAATTAAGTGAGAAAAAATAAGATATTGGATTCGATATAGATGAGCAAAAATGGAAATTTCTCAATTTGATATTAACTACAAAAAGAGATAAGGATCTCTGAGAGAATAAAATATAAATTTCAGGGACAAGTAAGAACCAATGCAGATAGTGTTGCGAAAGTGTATATATATATGTGTGTGTGTGTGTGTGTGTGTATGCAAGGTGTCTCGCCACTACCGCATTATCTCTTAAGGGCGGATTCCTGAGATAATTTGAATAAAAGAATCCTAATGCAAAAATGCCGAGGCTATGATACTTTTCAAATTATAAACGATTAAAGTTGACCAATTATACTGGCTAAAGTACACGCGCTCAAATACGGTACAACACACGATGGTACAGGTGCATGCACATGTCGTTCCTTTTTCCAAATATTGATACGGAAGTTCCATACATACAACAACGTATGTAATAATAATCTGCGTTTTCTATCATTTAAATAAACATATCGCAAATAATAACAGTTTCGTCAAAATTTTATGAATAAAATATCACAATATATTTATGAGAATCAATAAGCTGTCACACGTTTGACGTTTCTTTCAGAGATTTACTAATTTCATATCTTATGCAAATTCTCATTTATGTGCCTGTACCATTGTGTGTTGTATTGTACCGTACTTGAGCGCGCGTACTTTAGCCAATATAATTAATCAACTTTAATCGTTTATAATTTGTAAAGTATTATAGCCTCGACATTTTTGCATTAGAATTTTTTTCTTCAAATTACCTCAGGAATCCGCCCTTAAAAAGATAATGCGGCAGTGGCGGGACACCCTGTATATACATATCAGTCAAAATGTTGCAACACTCATTTAAGTTGAATCTTTTTACACGGAGAGAATATTGTAGCTTTCTTTATATAAATTTCTTTCAATTTTATTGTTTCTGGTAGTGTAGAAATAAATCGTCAGTAAGATCTATCTTGCTAAAGAATATAGTTATTTTCACCGAAAACAAAGCACATCTCTTTAACAACACATTTCATATTTTCTAGGATATAAATAGTATATATATGAAATGAAAGGATAGCCAATTATTGCAGAATGTTGATGTATTCCTCAGAAATTCAATAATTTTTTTATAGTAATTCTAATTCTTAACAAAATTCTACAGTAAATTTTACTATAAATTTTCTCTCCGTATACCGGTACATTTTTACCACATCTTATATCAAATATAATTATGTGCATATCTTCTTTCCGAACAAGATTGGAAATTTCGATTTAGACAAACATTTTGCTATTATTATTTTAAGACACGATTATCCGTTACATTTCTTGTTTTTCTCTATACACTGAAGAAAATCCAAACGTTGGAATCAAAAAACGTTGTCAAAAAAGTGACATCTGATGGTTCTAAAGAGCTAGTTCCGCCAAATATCTTTCGGATAAAAATTTTGACTCTATTATGCACTTGAATTAAAGTTTTTGACGCGCTGATCACAAATATGTAAGTGTCAAGATGGACGCAGCTACCGTTCCAGAGAAAATGGCCCACTTAAAATTCTATCCTCACTAGATAGCGTCATCTGGTACTGAAGGAATTTTAGATGAGCCATTTTCTCTTAAACGGTAACTCCCTCCACCTTGCATATTCGTAATTTATGCGTCAGAAGCTCCAAGTCCAAAGCGTAAATAAAAATTTTCGTCCGAAGAAAATTGGGCGACATGCCTATGAGTGCGCTTGAGCCGCACCCTTTGTTAAGAAATTGTAACACGACCAGCGTCAGGCTCTTGCTTGATTTTTATTTTTCTCTCTTTCTTCCGAATTTCAGAGGTGGAGGTCGAGATCGTGAAGGCAAAACGCACGACGCGCGAACGTCCGATCAGTTTCTCAAAGATGGACGACATCAAGAACCGTTGGGAGTCCACCAGCCAACAGGGTAGGCGCGAGGTGCAGCGCGAGGCCAGGAAAGAAGAAATCGCTGGAATCCGCTCGCGACTGTTCATGGTAATTGGCTAGTTTTCGCAACGCTCCTACGCGAATGCAATCGTAAAAGTGCGATTTCCGTAGAACATTCGTCGAACGCGACGTATCGGAGGACCAGCCGCGCTTCCTAAAAAGGATCCTCTTCGGGCGGCATTGATCATTACATACGCGATTTTTCCGTAATCCCGCCTACCGCGTCTCGCTGATATACGCTATTAATTCCTCCCCTCTCTCTCTCTCTTTCTCTTTCTCTGATTCACAGGGTAAACAGGGTAAGATGAAGGAGATGTATCAGCAGGCGGTAGCCGGAAGCGACCGCGTCACGAAGATAAATGCGGCGGAGGAGATCCAGCACTCGACCCACGCTCGCTCCATCAAGGAAAGATTCGAGCGGGGCGAACCGATCGCCGTCTCGGACGACGAAACCGACAGCAAACCGAAACCGGAGAAAGCCGACGAGGAGGTGATCGCAGCAGGTACGAATCGCGAGCGACTCGGAATTTGAGCTAATCGGCGATTAACGGAATGAGCACTCGAATTCGGAGTGGAGAAATTTCTGATCGATAATATGTGTTGCGTTTCGAAACGCATATCTGAAAAGAAATTACGCGCTGATTCCGTATCTACTGTAAAATTTCATTTGCAATGTAATGTGCTAGAGGTTAACTTGCAAATTGGAATTTAAAGCAATTGGCAACGCAAAGTCGGATAAGCGTGCGAGATAATTCGGGGTAGAGAAATTTCTGCTCGAAAATAAGTGTCACGTTCGGAAACGCGTGGCTGGAGAAGAAATCACGCGCTAATCCTGGGAGCATCTGCTGTAAAATTTCATTTGTGATGAAATATGCGAGACGTTACCGTGCAAATTATAATTTAAAGCAATTAACAACGCAAAACCGGATAAACATGCGAGATAATTCGGGGTAGAGAGATTTCTGCTCAAAAATCAATGTTCAGAAACGCGTGGCTCTGAAGAAATCACGCGCTAATTCTGAAGGCATCTGCCGCAAAATTTCATTTGCGATGAAAAATGCGAGAAATTAATTTGCAAATTGGAATTGGAAACAATTGACAATGCAAAACCGGATAAACGTGCGAGATAATTCGGAGTGAAGAAATTTCTGTTCGAAAACAAATGTCTCATTGGAAAACGCAATGCTGAAAAGAAACGATGCGCAGATCCCGCGAGAGACATGCCATTACAAAATTTTATTTGCTTTATATAAACATAAAAAAATGAGACGTTCTAGCTTTTCCAATCGTTTTGCGTTCTGACAACTAATAGCTGTCATAACAAATAGAGATAACCAAACGGTTTCTAAATAAAAAATACGACAATTTTTAACGATGACTTTCCGTTATAATGTATGTACAGCTGGCCTCGCGTGCCGTTGTAAAAGAATCCAAGAGGAACCTGGAAGAAAGCAACCTAGTATTGCTCACTAATACGCGAGACATTCGTAGTAAAAACTTCTCCGCAGAGCGGAGAATTGTGTTACGAGATCAGATTAATATTCAGCCGCCTTATAAGAGGCTTTTTTCGGTCCTTGACAGAGATAGATCATTATAACGTGCCGAACGCCGCGGCAGGGTGAAAGTCACCGCGACGCGGCGCGCGGTGCTAATTGACATTTTAAAGTCACATGTGATTTATGGCAATCTATGTTGGTCACGCCATGCACACAGGTATCAGCAGGAAATCGCGATCGCTCTTTTTGGAGTTGGACGCCTCCGCGGCGAAGACGGGACGTCCAGTTACGCCGGTGCATCCGAAAACGCCGACCGAGACCTCACGGCGCGCACGAGACGTAAGTTCGACCTCTCAACTACAATTATCTACACACGAAGCTAGCGGAAACTGTTGACAATTGCGCATTGGTAAAAATGACTTTAAAGTCGGAAAAATTGACCCTAAAGTCATCGAGATTTTCTTAGTACACGTATTAAAAAAATATGTGTATGGAATAACGTCTCATTTAACATATCTATTTTATTTCAAATTTTTAATTTATTTAAAATATTAATTACTTATAACAATTAATTTTATTTAAAATTCTTAATTCAAAAATTTATCTTAAGTTTATCTTAAGTTAAAAATTTATTTAAGTTTATTTTATCTAAAATTCTTCATTTATTTGAAATCTTTAATTAATTTGATATCTCAAAACTTTACTTTATTTCAGATATTTAATTAATTTTATTTCACGTGTTTGAATCGATTTAAATTAATTTTCACTCACAGTATATACGCGATTTTAGCACGGCATTTTGCCTTTTTGTCGTTAGAAATTATATCGTACCATTTGTTATGCGATATTGCACATAACTCGCATACGCGCGATTCACAGCGAGAGTTTCAATGGAAAAGATTCGAATTGACTCTGTTCTCGAATAAGAGCTAGCAAGCGTGAGAAGGTTCTCACAGAACGCAAACTTCAGTTGCGCTCCAGTAACGATAATCCTCGAAATATTTGCGAGAAAAGGCATTCATGGCTCGTCAAGTCTCAGACGACGTGGTGCGCAGCTCGGACACGACCGAGGAGGTCCAAGTAGAAACGTCCGACATTACGAACAAGTTCAAATTTTTCGAGTCCTACAAGGAACCGGAGAAACAGCGGAAGCAGTTTCGCATTACGCCGCCGCGCGACGGACAAGTCAAGGTTCGATCCTTCGACTTTGTATTGTCGTTGATTGATTGACGTTTCTGTGCTGTTAATCTGATCTAACAAGCGTGAGACTGACTAATTAAACGGTTTACCGCGTGGTTTTTAAATTAACGGAACGCGATAACTCTTGGCCCGTTAAAAAGTAAACATTAGGAAACGCGAGCGATAGACCGATATAGCGCGATTAGTCTTTGTTGGTCGAGTAAAAATAATTTCATTTTTTTACATTTGCGAGATAATTTTGACAACTGTCTGCCATCCAGAGAGATAGCATCGTTCTTTGTCTCTTTCTCTTTCTTTGCATGCTCTGTTTCCCGTTTCGTGTTTCGACTGCAACGTTTATCAGCGAGCGGTATTGTCGGTCACTGATAAAGTCCCTTTCAATTATCGGTGAGAAGCGCGACGATGTAAAGATCGTATCTGAAAAATGACATGAACATTAACGGCGAAATCGGTAATGTAAAAACTGAGCTCGCGTTGTGATATTGTTTTCCCGAGAAATAGCGTGATTTCATTTACAATTGAGATAAGAGAAACGCGCCTGCGGTCAATGTGCACTTACCTATTTTATGGTGTATCAAGCTTTTAACCACTTGCAATTTCATGAATGATATTTGCTTTCTTTGAGATCTGTACTAACGTGGTTGTAATCTCTCCCCTCCCCCCAGCGATCACATAATGCTCCTCGCATCAAATAACAATTAGTCGGCTCCTAACATCGAATGACAAAGTTCCGTTGCTCAGATAGGAACTTGCTTTAAGTGGGAAGCAATTAGAATTAAGGAAGAAAGGAAGAATTCTAAAAACATGCAGGAAGCTCATTAAGAAATCTACTCTGACATTAAAAAAAGATGAATTCTAAAAGCACGCAAGAATCTATCCCAAGGTCGTTAGAGGGGAAATCTACTCTGACATTTAGATAATTCCAATTCAGGACAACATATCCCGCGATATCATTATTTTCCGGATTTTGCTTCCGAAGATCGAAATCGAGCTTCATATGAATCACGAAAAATGGCACAACCCCCAATCCCTGCCGGTCTCCTTACAATTATCTCGTAACATTTTCATAGAGCCAACTACAATCCAATCTTATTTCTCGACTTCCTCGACTAAAACAAGCGTCCTCTAAGCGAAAACCTCAACGATGACATTTTGAACTCGTATTTTTACAAATAACAACCTCAATGGTATTTTCCTCGAGGAGGAAAGAGGAATCTCGGCCGGCCGGAGGGAATCCCCGAGGGTGAGCCACCTTCCCGACGCTGGAGGGCCCCGAGTCCCACCGCGGTTCAAACGCCAATTACTCCGGGAAACAGTAACTCTCCCCCCCTCCGTCATACCTCGTCTAAGCACCTGCCTCGTTGCCACGGCGGTATGGGGGACGCGTGTTTGCCGAATAATTATCGGGACGCGATAACGAGTCCGCGCTCGTTCGCGCTGGCATAGCTTATAAAAGGCAGCGTGCATCGGCGGGCTGGCGGCAAATGCGCCACGGAGCGCGCACACACAGTGGCAGAGAGTCGATTCCAACAAACCGAGCTGTCCTTGAACCCCTCCGGAGTGGTCAGCGCAGCAGCCATACTTTTACCGTTAGTATTCCTACATCCTTCCATTCGTGAGGAGCGAGCAAGTGAGTGAGTGTGCGAGCGAGCGAACGAGCAGACCGGGCCGGGCCCCGGGGAACTTAACTGAAGGAAGGCGCGCACACACCACCGTGCACCGGGCACGTCGGGGCCCTCCCAGTAACTCACACACTGAGGGGAGGAGGTTCTCTCGTATCCTCTCCTCGTGTGAACGGCATAGCAACCGCCGAACCAGCAACAACCGGCTGTCGCGCCGCATATACGAACTTCTCACACGGGAAAGAGTCCCTCGAGAGAGAAAGAGAGTAGAGTAGAGAGACAGAGAGAGAGAGAGAGAAAGAGAGAGAGAGAGAGAGCGCGTCCGTGGAGTGGCGGAACACGGGGTTTGCGTTCAGTTTGAGTGACGACGCGTCTCGATCCGTTCGCCGAGCGACGCCGAGGAGCGACCCTAAAGTATAAGCGCAAAGGTAATTAGTCGAGTTCGTCGGTGGTCTCGGTTACGTGCTCGTGGTCGCGCGATGTCCAATTCCACTTTTCGGAGCGATTTCCTTTTGTTCTCTCTTGGTGCACCAGAATTCAGAACTCGCGAATTCTCCAGTTGATGCTTAAGTGACGCGGTTCGGTTCAGAGTTTACGGAGGCGTCTCTCTCTCTCTCTCTCTCTCTCTCTCTCTCTCTCTCTCTCTCTCTCTCTCTCTCTCTATCT